ATGATTATACGAGGCTTTGCCAGGAGCATTACTTGGAGGATCTGCTGAGGACCTGCTAATTGCAGCTGAGACGCCGGACGACGGGAAGCCCTGGAATGTGCTAGTCTGCCTGAAGCTTGCAGATGGGCAGATATGGCAATATCCGAGGTCATGTACCCCCTCTCTTTGCTACGGTCGTTACTCCTTCCTCCCCTGCTCAGCTTTTCGCGGCCTCGCCAATGATCGAGAAAGGATATTGAGATCGGTCGATCGTGGTGGATAGCAAAGTGGAGATAGTGGCCGCGGATGGGTAATGGGTATCCTCTGGCATGAGAGTACAGGATTGAAGGTCTCAGGGCCTTGTAGCTGCGGTGGATCTCTGTGTGTATAAGGGGCAGTATTGATGCCAAGGTATTTTTGATGACGGGGACGTTAGAAGAGGGGGGAGAATTGCATGCCAGGAGTATATAGTAGGCCGTAGAGTGTATTCCGGTTCTGCGAGGGCAGTGCGAGAAGCCTATATAAGTCCTCTGATTTCCCCCCTATCTGCCATCTTTCTATAGTCTAGTTTATATAGCTAGTAGTAAGCAGAGAATTTCTTGAATACTTCTAATTATTTCCATGTACTCGAGATAGCTACTTTTGCCTTTAAACTATATACTTATATACTAACTACTCCGTATTTCAAGAGCGTAATAAGCCGCCGCAAACCTGCCTCGAAGCTAATTAGTATCTTTAATAAGCTCTAGTATATTAAGCCGAGTAGTATAGAACTCAATATGCCGGAATTAGTAGTAGCTAACGATTATAGGAGTAATGAGCTTGGAATCCGAGGTAAGTTCTGAGATCGAGATATTTGGGCTAGTAGTAATAATAACTAACCTTGGATATCTGAGAGCAGAAAATGGTATGGTTACTAATAATAACAAAAATAATAATAACTATAACTTTCCCTCTATTAAATAACTGCTATATACTATGCTATAGAAGGAAAGCTTTATAGCAGAGGACTAGCCTTTGAATAATATAGCCTTTGAAGTTGGGAATAGAACTATAAATAAGAGAAGCGGCTCTCTTAATAATAAAGAGTTAGTACAAGGCAGTAACCCAAGTAATAGTCCAAGTAAGTATACTTTCTATCCTCTATTATAGAAACAGATAACTAGTTTTTCTAATATAGTATAGAAGATCCAATTATATTACTAGGCAATAATGATTTAAGTACCTCTAAAGTCGAAGTTAATAATAGTAGTCTTTATACTAAAAGTATAGTAGCAGATAAGGGCCTTCTCGATAGCCCAGAGACTGCTATTAACTTAATAATCCCGGCCTCTCCTAATTCCGATATATGATACGATATTAATAACTTACTCGGAATAGTAGAGTACTTATAGTACTCTAAACCAAAACCTTTAATATCCAATTTCATTTGCCCTTATACTTCCTCCTCTTACTATATCTCGAGCGAGCCATTATATAACTATATTAGTATAGCAGGCTAATATATAATCTATATTAAGTCTGAGGCTATAATATCCCCTCTTACTTGTTCTTATAATTACTTCCCTGACTATCTTCCTATAGATCGAAGTATAATAGACGAGTATAAGCTAGTTTGCCCTATATTGAATTCCGATATCTTTAATAAGAAGGAGAGATAGTAATAGGAGGAGAAGGAAAAGAAGAAGTAAGAGAATTGGGGCTATAATAATAATAATAATAATAAGAATAGCAGGTAGCTATAATAAGAGATAAAAGAAGATATAATAGTAATACTAATATCCAAAAAAGTTAGTAATACTTATTTATCTAATAAGAAGAATAAAAGCTTAAGGCTAGCTAATTATAATCTATTTCTAGAGCCGAGTTAGGATAAGTTAGAAAGCTATAGTAGTAGCTTTAGTAATAACGAGCTTAATAGTAATCCCGTATTAATTAATATAAATAGGGAACTATATTCTATAAAGCGGAAATAATTATCCTTATCTAATAACTTAATATATAAGAAGCGTAAGTACTATCTTGAGTAGAGGTCTATTCCCTAATATAGATCATATACCAAACTTTATTAGTACTTTCCGAAATTATACTTCTTTCTTAATTATGGTTTAAGAGTTACTATAGTATCTAGTACTAAGAGTTAATTACTTTTACTAGTATCTTTAATACTATAAATTATAAATACGGAGATATTATCTAACTACTATAACCTTGATTAATTATCTAGTAATATCCTATTAATACTAACTGAGGTTATATTCTATTTATACTTTATATACTACTACTTCTTTATAGTAGTAATCCGAGATAGTCGTAATAGGCGAGAAGTCTCTTTTAGCTAGCTTGCCTAACTTATTAAAAGTATTAGCTATATAAGGAAAATTAACGACTTTACTATTAAGCTAATAAAGTAATATTCGTTTCTCTTAATTAGCTTTAGCTAGTATACCTTATTCCTACTCTCTAGTAATATGATTTTATTACCTATTATAAAGGCAAACCGTATCTTTAATAATATATCTTTAACTATACTTTAGTATAGTAAAGCCGCTAATACTAGAGCTTTACTATTAGAAGAAAGTGAGCCGTCAAGTAGTAATAACAAGAGTAGTTTAAGTAATAGTAATTCTGACCTTAGTAGTAATAATAATACATATTCAAGTAAAAAAAAGCAGGGTTCTAGTATAAGAATAAATATCCTATAGGAACCTATAGACGAGCAGCACTTACTAGTATATAAGAAAAAGAACAAGTCTTAGGAATAGATCTTTAAGAAATTCCTAGATAGGACTTTGGTTATAGTATATATATACTAGACTATAATATAGTATAGAGTCAAATAAGCTTCCTTTTATAGGTAAACAGGTAATAGCTCAAGCTTTATACCTACTTGTTCCTAGGCCTTTACTAGAACAAATATCTAATAAGGACCTTATTCTTCTACTAGCGAGTTCTAATATAAGAGTGCGGTATGATTAAGAGAAGCAGTATTTAAAGTAAGGCAAATAAGAGAATTAGATATATAAATAGAATACTATAAAAGAAAATAGAGAGGTTATTGTTAGAAACAGATATAAGGCATATTATCTTTATAGGAAATAATTAATATATTATATAATAAGTTATATATTTATTAATATTCCTGGCATTATTATATTATATAGTTTTCTCTATATCCTTTTTAAAAATAAACTCTCTTAACTAAAATAATAATACTAATTCCTAGTACTTCTATTTATATATTTACCTATTTCTTTTTTCTTAAAAAAGTTATTATCTTATTAAATACCTTAATTATTCTATTATATATTATACTATAGTTATAGAATATATCTATAAAGATATTCCTATCTCTAATTAAAAAGAGAGTAAATCGGAGCTTATAAGCTAATAGCTTAAGGTTCTCAAACTCCGGTATAAACTCTATAATAATATTCTCAAATTAATTTTTGCCTATATAGCCCTGCTTTATATTAGTAATTTCTATATATACTCTAGTATACTAACCTTATAGTATATTTGTTTTTAGTCTTATTATTTTTTTAGGTTTTTGCTTACCTATACTTTTATAGCTATATTAAATATATAAAGATATAAAGATATAAAAAAATAACTTAAAGTTATACTAATATATATAACTTTTGCTTTTAAGAACCTCGATTACTATAAATTATATAGTACTAGTCCGGTAACGAGCCCTATTTAGTATATTATCTAGCTCCTTTATTAAGTCCAAATTAATTAGTCTTTCTTTTAAGGTATTTTTAATAGGAAGTTTAGTAATAATATTATTATTTTCGGAAATATTCTAATAAAGAATCTTTCTATTCTCGAATAATAACCTATAACTTCGAATAGTATTATATAATACTTCTAAAAGCTTTCTAACTAATTAATATTCGTAAAGAGGTTATCTAGCTAGTAAAGTTACTAAGTAGTAATATACTCGGTTACTATATATCTCACTTTTATAATCTATTAGATTATTGGCTCTGGCTTCTTAAATATTATTAATATTATTTTATTACTATTTATTCTAGTAGTTTACTAGACTATTAACTATTATTTCTTAAATACTATAAATACTAATTATATCTAGCTTGCTTTCTCTAATATATATATTTATCTTACTAATATAACTACTATTAGATTTAGATCTCTTTAGTCTATTACCTTTATTAAGTCTTTTATCTCTTTTTCTTTTCTACCTAAAGAAAGAAGTTATAATATTATCTATACCGATTTCTAGGCCAATTAAATAAGCTATACTATTTCCTGACCTTCTCCTGAGGCTTGTTTTTAAATATATCTAGCTGGATTCTAGATTACTATTAACCTAAAAAGCTTTCTTTAATAGTCTTTATAATAATTCAAATTTCATATTTTATTATAAATATAAGATAGTATCCGGATTGCTATTAATAGTAATCTGCTTATAATTGAACTATATAGTAATGCCTATAACTTCTTTTTCCTTTACTAACTTTAATAGTTCTCTCTCTTATTACCTTTTATTAGACGACTAAACAAATTTCATAATATATTCTCAGTTTATTAAGTCATATCTCCTTCCTTAATAATATATTATTTCCCGGTATACTATTGCTTTTATTGAGGCAATTGGCTTGTTCTCTAAATAAATTCTTATATTTTATATAATAATATACTTACTATTCCTATTATATTTAATAAACGTATTTAATCCCAATTCTATATCTATTATTAATATATACCTAGTAATAACCTTAATAAATTACTCAGGCTCTTTATATATATTAAACTTCTTAGAGCTATATATACTAGATCTATTAAATATCCAGGGCCATATTACGCTTTTATATATTATAAAGCCAGGTATAAATTACTGCTCTGGTTAACTTCCAAATACTTCTTATATATAGCCTGCTAATTATACTAGTATTTTTATAGAATAATCTTTATTAGGATTCTATTTATATTCTCTAATAATAAGAATATTAGACTAGTTATATTTGCCGTCCGGTAAAGCAGTATTAGTAGGGATAAGGAAAATATCAAGCTTATAATTAGCCTCCGAGCCCCTTAATACTTTATTTACTAATATATAATACCTGTAATTAAGTTTACTAAGGATAATATCCTAGAACTTTATAAACTACTTAAAAAAAGAACCTTAAAGTAAAGATTCCGGCCAACTACTCTAGTAACCTTTGGTATATTGAGCTCTCGACTTCTTATAGATATTTCTTGCCTTATTTGTCCAAGACTTCCCTTTGAAGTATTACTTATAGAAGCCTCCGATATCGTAGTAGATATGCCCGGTAAGTTCCTCGAGTATCCGCTGGTTAACTTCGTTATATATCTGCTTAATCCTTCTCTGAGAAGCCGAGCTGGATCGTAGTAGCATATCGAAGACGGCTTTCTCAAAGGCAGTCGGTGGTATCGGAGAATTCGTTCGTATAATTAACTCAAATATAGTATGCCAAATATCCGTATTATTCGAAGTCGGTATACCAGGTTCATTCCTGATAATCAGTTCTACTAGAGGGATAGCTAATACGATATCTAATTGGTTCGAATCTACGCGCCCGTATAGTATAGCAAGGTCGCCAGAGACAGTTCTGTTAGCTATTCGGGAAGGGAGGGTACGAGCAGCTGGTTCGATCTGCAGAGCTTGGATGAGGTCGAGTACTAGGTTTTTGATAACTATGTATATTAATAATGAAGCTAGCTAGAAGAAGTTGAGCCATACCTGGGGTGGTAGCCGTTGCAAAGACAATTTGAACGGCACCGGACGACGACGCGGCACCAAGATCAGAACGTATAGATTCAAAGAGACGGCGGAAGGCACCTAGCCGTTCCTTGATCGGGTTATACCTGATTTTATCGAGTTCGGAGGCTGTAGCCATTATCGCAGATTAAAAAGAACGTGAATGGAGTATTGAGGACCTGTAATGCGAGATGCAAGTTATCGTGAATTTGCCTAGGCGGGATTGCGATCTGATTACGTAAGATATGCTGATGAGGCGAAGTCAAAAGGGTCCAGCGTCGGAATAACCCGTCCCTAAATTTAGCCTTCTTTTGAGGCCCATAGGCCAGCGAAATGTGATCACTGAATTCTCCACACTGTATCGTATCTTATCGATAAAGTTGCATTGGAGGGCGGCAAGGGAATGTCGCAGTCTCGATTTTGGTGAGGACAACGCTCATGGCCGCGATCATGGTTTTCAGGAGGGGGGCTGGGATCCGCTGTTCATTTGCGGATTCGATATACAGGAGTGCTAAGGTACGGAAGGGGGTTTTCAAAATTCGTGCAACAAAGGCGGTGAGCCTATTTTGCCGCCACTTTTAGCTTCCATCACCTTCTCTCCTATCTATCAACACCACCATTCTTTTATTAACCACTTTACCATAGGCCGCGAATACCCTTAATATAAGACTTTTAAGAAGTCCCGATTTTTCTTCTTGATAGAACGCGGTAAAAGTGCTCTTGCTGCAGCTGTAGAGCTGAAAATCGATAGAACCACTGCTTGGAGATGGCTTAAACGCTTCTATGCTGATGAACTTGAACGCACTACTAGAAAACGCTTTGCTACGAAGCCATTAGGTCGACCGCGCATTATAACGGACGAGCATATCAAGCAAATGATCTAATGGATCACTGGGCACTACGACCGCCGCATTCTACCCCTCGAGACTATCGCCCAAGAAGCCTGTGGTATTAAAGCTAAATACTTGACATTGCTGAGAGCTTGGTATCGCTGGGGATATCACTACTACACTCTTGATTCGAAGCCCTTCTTCTCTGAAGCTCAAAAGCTGGCACGCTACACCTTTGTAATCAAGAACTGGGACCGTCCAGTGGTATATTGGCGCAGGGGCATATACATAGATGAGACTATTGCGCGCACCAATTTGAGGCGCCGTGTTAAAGTCTTGAGAACACGAGGTGAAAGGAGGAGGCTTGATTGCATGCAGTTCACATTTAACTCTGGGAGGGATTCTATAATGTGTTGGGCAGCTATTGGTTACAACTTCAAGAGCCAGCTCTACTTTGTAAGCATGGAAGGGGATGGTAAAGGGTTCACACAAAAGAAGTATGAGGAGCAGATTCTGCGAGGGCCATTAAAGGACATATTTGCAGACGGGGAGCGGCAATCACAAGGATTTTTCTGTGTAGAGGATGGGAGTAGAGTGCATGGCCTTAAGGACACAAAGAGGAATAAGGGGCTTTGCAATGCTGCAAGAGTAGAGTGCCATATATACACTTTACCTTGGCCAGGGAACAGTCCAGACCTCAATCCTATTGAGAACGTGTGGAGGGTCTTGAAGCAAAGATTAAGGAATAGAAACCCTCATGGAGGCTGGAGTCTTGAGCAGCTAAAGGAGGCACTAGTTGATATTTGGGAATTACAGTGGAGGATTTTAATAAGTATATTGATTCTATGCCTCAGAGAATCTGGAAGGTCATTTATAGAAAAGGGGCTCAAACCCCTTATTAAAGCAGCATTAAAGAATGGCTATAAATGGCATAGTTTTATGGCAGAATCCCCCTGTTTGGACCCACTATGTTGCACGAATTTTGAAAACCCCCTTCCGTACGAAAGGGGGTTAGAGAAACTGAAGAACCACCCCCCTTATTTTTGCAGTCGCTATATAAGGGAATTTGTGGAGCAAAATAGACCAAATTCGACTTTGATTAGTCGAAAGGTTCACCGCCTTACAAGGGGGTGGTTCTTCAGTTTCTCTAACCCCCTTTTGTACGTAGCGTGCTCGCGGAGATCATTGGGCCATGCAGTTACTTGAGGCCACGTTGACGCCATAACGCCTATGTCGCACTGGGCGATGCACACAAGTTCAGGCTATTCAATTGACCAGAAATAGGGCTGCTAAATGTGGTTTTTGTTGAGTAATTCCAAAAATTTCGTTCTCGCTTTTTGTGATGTTTTTTCCTCCATATCGCTGGGCGCTAAAACTCAGGCAGAAAGTTTATCCGATCCGAGGCTACTGACCGCTAAACGTTTAAGAGGTGAGCACTCCTAGCCAGCAATCCGGAGATCATTCTTCCTTACCGCGTGCTAGGTACGCCAGGGTTCCAGCTATTCCATTCTATTATTTCAGCAAAACAGTATATGATTCGATGCTCCTTTCCTGCTATGTCTGCCTATCCAGAATATTCCTTGGATATTGCAATTACAGAATTCTTCTTACAGATGTCTGCAACTCGTAAAGCATACGATACTAAGGCCAAAGACCTTATTAGGGGGAAAGTTGTCCCAGTAACCGTATAAGGCAACTGCAGCTACTCGGTCTATACTGGACCTGAATTCGAATTCGTTATCCAGTTCCGTCTTAAGACTTTAATACTTAAATTAGAGATTATAGCTCTAGTATGAGAAATATATGGCTTCCTAGCCCTAAATACTTTATTTTACGGATAACTGGGAGAAGGTAGGAAAGAACCCCTTTTTATCTATATTATAAATCGGATACCAGGTATTAGCTATCTGGATTTTATTCTTATAAATGGCTTCCCTAAAAATTCGGACCGGAACTTCGTTTGGCAAAAAACGCTTATAAGAGATATAGTATAGTATAATTTACTCTCTGTCTTCTTTTATTACTCTAGCAGATCTAGTATTTGGCTATTTTAGTAAATATAACTACTATAGTATCTAAAATATATTAAAAGTTATTATAGAAATATATTTCTTAATAAAAGTACTAATTAATTATAGTTTTTTGGCTCTTTTATAGAAAGCCCCTTAAGAGATTAATTCAGACTATTGCAAGAATCTATACTAGATATATACTAAGGAACTATAGCTACTACTATATTCTTTATTACTCCGCTTTTATTATACTATACAGAAATGCCTTAATTTAATAGATGTAATTCTCTCTCTACTAATAGTTCTTCTCTATTATAATTTTGGCTCCTGTAATATTATAGTTAATAAGATATCTTATTACCTAAATAATATTATAAACTAGGTAGAAGCTAAAATCCGCCCTTTTAGCCAGAACTTTTATTCTCTTTAAGCTCTTATAAGTATACTTTATCTCAAGAACAGGTAGTAGTAATACGAAGATTACGGGACTCTATAGAATATATTTTAGAGTATATTTCGAGAAGAAGTTAGAAACTTATTTATAGAAATAATAAAGATTATTAAGATAGTAAGAATTATGGGTTTACTACTATTTTCTGGCTTTACTAACCGGCTTATAAATAAGCCAGAGCCTATATTTATCCGTAATAATAAGACTAGATAATATAATATATTATCTCTAGATAGTTTTCTTATTAATCCGAGTACGAGATTTAATAACCTTAATTAAGTAAAACTATTTGGGAAATAGAGGAATTAAAAACATAGAGAAGAATATAAATAGGAGGTATTATTAGAGACTTGAGATTAGTAATTACTAATATAGACTAAACCTATTATCTTTAGTAGTATATCTGTCTCTTTACAGGGCAAAATAACTAAGATATTAAAGAATTTCTATATTAATAAGAGCCTTCTTAAGGTTATTAATATTACTTAGTTTAGGTAAAGGTTTCCTAGTATTAAAAACCTTATAGTTACCCGAAGTTATTCTAGTATACTTCTCGTTTGCCTAATATATATGTGGCTGTCTATTCCTAGCTTTAAATCTCTAGCTAGTAATTCGGGTTAGTAAATAGCCGTATATAACTATTATATCTAATATAATAGTTCCTTAGTCGAGGACAAGCTCCTATATAGTTTAATCCATGCTATTAATAAGAACCTAGAGGCCAAGGAGATTTATAAGGTTATTTATAATAAGATAGTTAATAAAGTTAGTAAAGAACTTCTTTCTAATACTTAATAGATTAGATATAGGTCCGTCCTAGTACTTATATATAATAAAACTATCTCTTATAAGAACGAAAATATCTTTATGGATAATACTAAGGTTAATGGTATTAATTTCCGTTACTTTGGTCTAATAGCTATAAGGATTTTCGAAGTTACTTCCTAGTATAATAGTATTCTTTAGTATCTTAAAGTAGCTATAAATCAAATAGATACCAAGAGTCTTATAAGTATTATGGCAGATAAAGAGTACTATAAGTTTTTATATATATTTCTCTGAGACGGGTAGCTATTCTGTATTATTAAGTAGCCTATTATAGCTAGTAATTATTAGTAATATACTAGACTTTAAGTCGAGACTTTATACTTATATATTGCGACTTTTCTATAAGTTTTTGATCTCTAAGGCACTATTGAGATCCGGAATACATAAAGAAGTAGTAATAAGAATTGCCATGTTATTAAGGGCGCAGGTCAAGGAGATTTAATCTAGTACTTGAAATACTCGAGGGCTATGTTATTTTTATACCATATATAGTATGGTCAAATTCCAGAGAGGAGAGCGGATGGAGGATAGAAGGATGGTTAGAGGATGGTAGAGGCTTAATATGGGAAGTTGGAGGGGCAGATAAGGTACGTCTTTCTTGGGGTAGCCCGAGAGAAACCATTGCTTCTGTGATTGGACTGAGAGTGCATTTCGGGATGCATTGAACCACCTGGCGCCCATATTGCGCTCTCTGCGGAGGCACCCGTAAACATCACAAGGATCTTAGGTTAGGCTTGTCGACCGAACATGGGCTTCGAGTGACTCACTGTCAGTCATGCACAAACTCACTGGTCAATTAGCCGGACATTCGCACCCTACCCGTTACGAATTGGGAATGGTACGGGACGCATTTTCGCGCGCAGGGGGATAGAATACATCGCTACTACCGGGGCATCAAGAGGGGGATTGGACTGAGAGTGTATTTTAATAAAAGCCCCCGGCCCCACTAAACTCTGCGGCTCGACCCCTCCCTCCGCGTTTGCGGAAGGCATCCGTGAAGCTTGGACGGGTGGACGGGTAGGCTACGGAAAGCCATAAGGATCAGAAGACCAAGCGATTTTCGAATCTGGTTTTCGACCTTCAATGTCTGATTTGTGGCACGTGCGCACCCTACCAAAAATCTCCTACATATTATGCCCTCTCTTCCTGTGCCTCTACTTATTATTACTACATAAAATATTACTCTCTTTTTAATTCTTATTTATATATATACGAGAGAGGGGTGAGAGAGGGGTGGATGGGGATAGGGGTGGGGGGAGGAGATAGAGGGCGAGTGAAAAGTGAAAAGTGGAAAGCGAAAAGCGAGCTTTAAGGCATGCGACTCGCGAGGAAAAGGAAGCCCTATAATTATAGGCTACTTATCGCTAAGTTTTAGGGCCACAATCACTAAATTATAGGCTATAGGTACTAAAAATTTAGTGCTTTGCAAGGTAAATTTTTAGTAAGGTCCCCTTGCCCTGCCCTCCCCCCCTCCCCCCCTTCTCCCCTCTCTTATCCTTATACCTATAAAAAGAGCGAGAAGAATCAAAGTGAAGAAATATTTGAAGTAATAATAGAGGCACAGGGAGAGGGGGTATAATATATAGGCGTGGTGTATAGGTATTTGTGATTTTTGGTGGGGTGCGCACGTGCCACAAATCAGACATTGAAGGTCGAAAACCAGATTCGAAAATCGCTTGGTCTTCTGATCCTTACGGCTTTCCGTAGTAGGCGCTGGTGGACTGAGCTTTCTGGCTGCCTAAATACCACACTCTTATGCATCGCTAGAATCGGAGCACTCACTAGTCAATCTGGTAGCGTTCGACAATGCACCTTCACTGTTTCCACTCCGCATTTACCGTTTTCGCGAAAATTTCCGGGGCAAACCTTTACGCAATTGAACTGATGGCTCGTACTAGGTGTATATTGCCTCTAGCCACGCAAGTGTGCGATTAGGCAGGCTGTCTGGTAAATCACCCGCTACGTTTCGGTGGGCAAAGGTTGACAGCCATTGAACTGACTCGTACATGAGAGAGCTGGCTGTGAATACAGAAACTGATTAGGTGAGGCTCCTATAAGATAATGGCCTTAGGGGTCAGATGGTTTTGATAACAGATTCTGCCTTACCAACTTAATTCACCTTTGAGAAACACATCGAGGTAGGTAGTATCCTTTATAGGATTCATCGTTCTATTTTCCTAGCAGAAACCATACCGGAGTAAAACCCTAAGAGTCCTAACTTTATTAATAGTATGGCGATATTTATCCGAGATTGTATATTCAATTTCTCTTAAGAAAGTCTTCCAAAATAGCGCTCGTAATCGGGAAGGATTATATCCAAAGTGTAAATAGGAAGGATCGCTTCCAAAGTATAACTAGCCATTAGGGCCGCGGTAACCAAGTATACTCTCTAGTCCCTATAGAGCTATACCGAATAGTTTAGTAGTAGTATCCGCCCAGTTAATTATACTAGTAATATGGCCGGAATTAGGATTAACGAGGATATTTATATTTGAGAGATCTTAGTAAGTCAAAACCTAAGGTACTAGATCTATTATCTGTCCTATATTCTTCTAAGTATTTTCGATGATTTTCGTAAATTAAGGAGATAGGGAGCTAGATAACTATACGAGTTTAGAGATATAGAAATAGTATTTGTCTTTGGCTAGAGATTAGAGGGTTTTCCATAATATAGCATAGAACCTATAGTATTATATTAGTTTAGTAGTATATAATATATGAAGACCTACTTGGCGAAGTCTACTATTACAATATCTAGCTTAGCTATAGTAATTATACTAGCTATAAACATATATCTAATACCCGTAATAATTTCCATAACCTAGACAGATACTAAAGAGTTAGGTATTAAGCCGTAATATGTAGTAACTAGAGCAAGATAGCCATAGACTTGTTTAGTAAGCTTGGTTATTAAACTATTAAAGGGTAATGCTTTTAATTAAAATTGAATAATAAGCCCCGAGTTTGACCATAGTATATAGCTATGAAAGCTTTGCCAGGGTACTAGTATTACGGAGCCCTCTATAAGGCTCTAGGCGAACGTATTATAGTCGTCTCGGGTAATCTCATTCTGCGTCTCAAATAGATCTGATATTGGTTTGGCGGAGGGGGCTAGCAGATAAAGAGGTCCACGTTATTATTAGGTTCGTCCAGGTTCTGAGTAGTTATGGAGAGGAAGGTGGCAGAAGCTAGTAAATGCATTTCGTACTATTCCTAATTCATACTAAGCCGCACAGCCACAGCATACATGGCCACAGTTTAGCCACCTCTTGAGATCGGGGATTGCATCCAGCCTCGAGGGATTATAGTATCCAGAATTTGCGAAATATGTGCCTGAAACGGTCAGCGAAATTTTTACTAGAAAGGTGCTTAGAAGCATTTAATTTTGGCGGAATTTTGTGTATCTTTTTAGCCTGAAGGCGTTAGAGCCCAAATACGAGTCTACTCGGCCACTATTAGCTTGCTAAGCAAATCAAATGGAATTATGCCCCACTACTTGAAAGTCCCGCAAACCATAATTTCTTCCTGTACGTGAATAACCTCATTAACCTCTCGAATTACAAGCAAGAGATCAGATACCCAAGGTTATTTTTAAGCAATATTAATAACTTAGTTTTCTGCCGGACCGGCTCCGCCCAGTCACTAATAGATTTTATCCCACCTATACTAAGGGGCAGCCATTACGCACTATTTTCCGTCTTATATTATTAGCTTTTTGCCTAGTAATATATTACTAGATTCATTTCTCCCTCGCACCACGCGCCTTTACCAAACCTCCTTTTACCTATTACACTTAACATATTCTATTAGAGGCACAGGAAGTGCCTCTAATATTATAGGCTCGACTTCACCTTCTGCCTTTGTGTAAATAGCCAACCTCATTCTCCTAATCTCGCTACGGCATAACCATAGCAAAGGTAAATACAAGGACAAGCCTCCATTCATCTTATAGCTTACTATACTACTTATATACTATATAGGCAATATTACATTCCTTTCCTCAAGCTCGCATGCTTTTATCTCGTATCTAAAAACCATTACATATTTACCTACTTGGTCCGCTTTATGAATAATAGCATATAGAGGAGCAAAACCATTCGATATTCCCGGTCTTAATAAGGCTTTAAATATCCAGGACTTAGAGGAAAGCCATAATCTATAAGTAATAGGGGCTCTGAAAACAGTCGGTTTTTAACTAATTTACATAGTTATAACGTACTCCCGACTAATTCACAATAACCGGAAATCCTTGAGTTACACATATATAACCTTGCTATAATCTTCGTTCGGAATCGCGCTAATAGAATCCTCGGTATCTATTTAGCTCATGCCTACTTTACTACCCCTGAAAATACCGCAATACTCGGTATTATCTATAATAAGCCTTATTACCGCTAGGCCAGAACTACCATAATCGAGACTATAGATCTCAGTAACATATATGGATATATATTCGTTCTCACAGATTACGGTTTCTACCCATACAAGTATTAAATAGGTCCTATACCCGATTTATCCGGAGTTAATAGTGCCTTCCTCCCGGAGCTAGCCAATTATCTGAATACGAATAACCTATTAATACTTATTAGACTTTAGATTATTAACCAAAATCCCGCATATATATTAGAGCTCATTCTCCCTCTAGTAATTATTATACTAGATATTGCGGATTTAAATAGATATATCTTTTCTAGGCAGACTAATTAGAAGTTTAAAGCTAAGAGCGGCAAGCCATATATATATAAATTAAATGAGTCACATGGCCGGCACACTAACGGGCATAACGTTTTTAATAAAAGTACGCCTTATCCAAAGCTAGAGACTTTTCAGGATATCAAGAATACACTTATAGAAGCTAAACTTCTCCGTTAGTAGCTTAGCCTACTTATTATATTAAAATTCGAGTATATAATTACTAGCACTTTACGGAAATAGACTAGTTAAGTCAAATAGTTAAATGAGATTATATTAATCTTGTGAATTATTTATATAGGCAAGTATCGGCATTCTCATTATTGGGCATTTTCACCTGCTATTGCTTGTCTATTAACTATTATTGGTTTGCTTCTTTTGCCTAGCTCTTTGCCTAATACTTCTGAAATCCAAAGCATAAGGAACAATCTTTTCTTTATATAATTATTATTATATTTGCTCTCCGGATTTATTAGCCATATTTCCCAAACCTACTTAACATGAGACAGTGCTTATCGCGCGTTAACTATATTAATAATAAAGAGATCTCCGTTATATGTATTCGTCTTTGTCTTTGCCGGCGCTTCTATAATTAGCCAAGTCTGCTATTTCTAGGGAGATATAACCTACCTTAACTCGGTTCCATCTTATTACCGTCTTTAGTTACATTCATATTCGTTTTTTCCTTTATTAGCGCTTTTATAATTAGCTATCTGCCATTTATAAGAAGACATAATATACCTTGACTCGGCCCTGCCTTATCGCCCTCTATAACCTGATTATTTACTAGTACTACGCTAATTTTAGTAATAAATCCGTCAGGATAATAAAGAATTCGAACTCACCTTAAGTCACTTCCGTATTAGTGCTTAAATATTCCCGATCCTGCATTAGCATACTAGAGGCATACTAGCCAACTGGATTCCCAGTAACCAATTCACTTGTCTATACTAATAATAAAGGTTCGCCCTTAGCCACAGCTCTATCTAAAACACGCCGGCGTTTCCTTGGCTAGTTTATACTCTGCGCCTTTTTCATATCGTCCTTAGTAGCTAGTAACTCATTAGCTACTTACTAACTTTTCTCAGTAAACCAGAACTAACCTTTCAGAAACTCATAATATTTATAAGATCCCCGCAATGGCTCTTTAGCTACCAAACCACACAGAATATAGTATATGTCGGGTGGCCATACCAGGGGTTCGTCTGGCTCAATATGCTCGAATACATAATTAAAGGTATCCTTTAATATCAAATTTGCTATCCATATAGTAGTCATAAAGGCTACTACCCAAGAGATTAATCTATCGGGACTCAAGCTATAAATACGCTCGCATCTTTCCCGGGTCACTTGCTTTCTCGCTTTGGTTACATCTAAATCAATAACCGAATCTCTTTAATTTTTAAAGAAAAGGGTTATATTCTTCGCGAATATTCCTCGATTCTTTAATTAAGTAGTAGTTATGAGATCTTTCCTATCTGACTCTGCCTGGACTATAAATTTTTTGCCTTCCTTGGAAGACGATTCTGTTCGTGTGTTTTTGAGAGCTTCGATCTGTGCCGGAAGATTAGTTGCAGCCGCAGTTAGCCTCAGGCTCAATCCCCCGAGGGTCTGGTATTAATCTTTCGAGGGATAAAAGCTAGAACCCTAAAGGCTCTAAACCAATGATTCGAGTTTCTTGATAAGAGCGTCGAGTTACGAAATAAACTTGCCTGTCGTCATATTAAGTGGGTAATTCAAAGGATAGTGCTCATGGGACCAAGAAGTGAACTGCTTTAAAGGCTTGGTGGGGTAGAGGAGCTAAAACAGTGGGGTGGTTCAGCGCCGCATATTTGCAGTAGGTGACTAGGGTAATACGTGCCCATGCACCCAGTTTCTACGCGACGTCGAGATCTAATAATATACAATTATTTCGCCTCACACATTTCTCAACCTACCAGAGATCCTTCATTATTGTGCTCGCATCCCGTGGCTGCTTAGAATCACTCTGTATACGTGAGCTAAGTGTCGAGGAGGGGTAATAAGCTTTGATCTATTGGCTTACGATAGTTATTCCTGGAACACTACACGTCGGTACTCCAATGTTCAATGTCTTGCTGAACATGTTTCTCCCCTTCAAACTGCCTTTTCTTTTCCGTCGTCCGCATTAGGCCAGTGCCCGGTGCATCAATCATGACCCGCCAGCTGCTTTGGGGGTGACGTTGCTGCATACAAGCCAGTGATCGAGGGGACGATCCCCAGTCGCACAGCACTATCATCCATATATCATGTTGTGTACGTGGGATATCTTGATTGTTCTCATGGCCAGTGCAACATGCGGCAACCGTGGGCCAGAAGAGGGATGGTGGTAAGTATCCGAAGACTTGGGACTCTAATCACAAGCCCTCTCCATGGCGCTTCCGCTGAGTCAATATCAAAACACCACACTTCAAGCTCCCCCAGAGCAATGCATGTCTTTTCACTTCGGCATCAACGGCCAGATTAGGAGGTCACATCTATCTTTCCTGCAACCAAACTGCACATCGGCTTCTCGTTCAACCGTGTCTTATTCGATCGAAGATGTCCATCTAGCTCCTGCGCCTCAATTAGAGCAATCAAAATTGCTTTCTTTCTTCTCAAGTATCAAGGACCGGGATCCTGCATAACTACTCCAATGTGTTTCTTGACCCCACGTTTCCTGCATAATGCATCGATAAGCCACATCGATTGGGGAAGATGCCAATGTATCTTGCTGCAATCGTGGACAGATGAGGAAACCGGCGTTATGTCTCTGGCGTTGGTCTCCCAAGATAGACTAGAATTCCAATTCGAAGATTTGCATAGGGATGAATAAATATATAAGGGTAGAAATTTCCCCTCAAGTTTGATTACCACCTCCTTCTGCGTTCAAACGCTTCAAGCAACTTCTAAAGCAACTTCTCTGAAGTTTTCATTATTATTACCCTCTGCGTTCTCAGCATCCAGCTCTTTAATCATCTTTCCAAACCTTCTTGCCCAGTATATATCTTGTCTGTCACGTATATAAAGCAATCTCTCTTCCGTCTGAATCCTACCGCCTCACAGAACAAGGCAATGGCAAAATACATTGAGAATGGTCCCTTACCAATTCAACCAATCTCGGACGCTAAAGCCTCGATCCTGGACTTCTTTGTTCCAGGCTTCTCCCGAATTTCTACCGTTATCTAATAGTATCTCAGGATCGACTTGAGAGTCTATGCCCCTCTGCTCTATTACTTTGGGTTATTTATATTCATTTGCAGACGTATTTGCATATACTTGTGGGTACTACTAGAGACTTATTATAATAAGAACCCCCTTCTATCCGAATAAGAGAACCCACTTTCTAATAATTAGTAGCTTTAACTATTTATTTGCGATATTATAATAATGCATATAATATACTTATATTATGAATATCTTCTCAGAGCTTTGCCCAGAACGCTTTCTCTTCCCTTATTACTACCGACTTGGCCTTATTATTAAACTGGTCGAGAAATAATTATTCAAATAGCGGAGATATAAATAAAAAGACTCTGTATTATATATCCTGGAATAGATTCTTTTTCATATGGTATAAGGGCTATTAGCTTATATTCCGGTATTATTTTCAAGCTAGAGAATTCCGTAATCGAGAGGATATTTCTATTTCCTGCTTTGGCAGATCTCTGCAAATTCTTAGGAAACTACTTAATAAGTACTATACCGAGTATATAAAGCTTATTCAGGATCAAACCTGTCTTTACGAGTACTAAGATAGTACCTGGACGAGGTTTATAGTATTAAAAATAAGACGTACCTCGACTATTATTCTTAATAAGAGTAAAAAAAAAGAGCTACTAGAAGATATTAGGGACTTCCTTACCCTAATATTCTAATAGTAGTATTCCAATTATAATATTCCCTACCGACGGGATTACTTGCTATACGGACCTCCTGGAACTAGAAAATCGAGTTTGAGCTCGGCTATTACTAGTTATTTTAGTTTAAATATCTATATTCTTTGCCTTTCTGAAATTAATAAAGCCAGCCTAAAGAGCCTATTCGCCAAGCTTCCAAGTCACTGTATTATTCTTTTAGAAAATATTAATACTATTAGTTTGAATCAAGATACTAATACCGGGAACTCTCGCCAGATCATAACTGGCTCTCTCTCTTAATAGAGTAAATCTGCCTCTAGAAAGGTATCTTTATTTACTCTCTTAAATATTATTAATAGTATAGGATTATAAGAAAGCCAAATCCTGATTATAACTACTAATTATATTATATATCTTGACAAAGTACTTATATAACCTGGCCGTATAGACAAAAAGGTCGAGCTTGGGCTCGCTAATAATAAAATAACGGCTAATCTCTTCTGTCTTGTCTTTAAGCCCGTATAAGAGAACGTTGCTCTTCCCGAGAATACTTAATTAGGAGATAATACAAAGATCTATAAAGCCGTAGTAAGTCAGAGGAAAGAGGCCGAGAGAGTTAAGCAGTTAGCAAAAGAGTTTGCTAGTAATATACCGGAGCTGAAATTCAGCCTAGCTAAAATTTTCTCGTTTCTTCTAGAATATAGGAAATTACCGAAGGAAGCTATTACTAATCTCGAGCAACTTACCTCGAAGTCCATTGGAATAAAGTCAAAGCAGTTAATATCCGAAGATACCAAGCCTAAAGATACCAAGCCTGAAAATACTAAGCCTAAAGATGCCAAGCCTAAAGATGCTTAGCCTGAGATAGTACGAGATTCCAAGTTAGTATGCCTCAAACGGAGTGTAAATCAAACTTTGCTAACGATCCATTTAGGTGAGATAAGGAATCTTTAGCAACGGAAGTCCTAACGGAGATAGTTATTCAAACTCCCTTGGCCTTGGCACAGCCAACCGCCCCACCAAGCAGCCCAAATCTATTACCGTCCAAGCGTTTTATTACCTTGAGCAATGCTCAAGAATTGGCCAAAGCGGTCACGGACACGCAGATGGCCTCTACGCATACCGCGAAGTGCACCTGCTCCCATACGCCCCCTAAGGATCTTTTAGAGGCGAATTCAACCGATTACTATTCGCCGATTCCCATTCTTGCGTTTCTGGCAAACCAGTCACTAGCACAGATTGTGACTATTAAGCATGTCTAATAGTTCTTGGATATTCTCAAGTCTCTTAGTACTAAGCAGGAGCCGCCTCCTCCGCCTGCCGCTAAAGACAAAGTTAAACCCGAGGAACTAAAAGCGCGAGCTTTAATGCTGGAATTTAAGAAAGTTAACGAAGTATATATATATACCGGACTATAATCTAACCTTGCTAGTACTAATACCATATAGCTAGGATAAAAAGAAGTACAAGTATAAAGTCGTGGAATTATTAATAGCACCTAATAAAGTAAATAAACTTAATTACTATATCTTTATTATTCGCATACGTATTAGTAAGTATTCTAGCCTCTATTCCAACCTCTGCTCCTAATAGTAGTCTAGATAAAGAGACTAAGAATTAGATCTAATATATAAATATTAAGTTTTCGGGCTTATGGGACGTCCTCCGGGAGGTCCTGCAAGATATCCAGGGGATCTGCCTCTATAAAGAGAAGCCTTTGGTAAGTCTAGAGCCGCCCCGAGCACTCAAATACCAGAGGCTAGAGCGTCTACTAACTAAATATAAGTAAAGCAAAGCCTACTCTACTATTACTTGTCTAATCTAGAGAAGTGCCGCCAAAACCCTAGTATAGCCCTCGATTATTCTATCCTTGAGTATCTGGATTTATTACTAGATTTTATTAGGATAGCTTATGCTTCGACTACCAAGTGCCTTGGCCTATTTCTCGAGAAATATCAAATTACGTATAACCTTCTATAAATACTCTTTAAGCCAAATACTCTTGTATATACTAAATATTTCGGTACTAGCTAGCTAAGATATATTAGATATGAATTCGGGAAAGAGAAAATAATAAAGAGTAAGATATAATACTTCTATATTAAAGCTCGCTATTTGGATTCTAATGAGAAAGTATTTGGGGAAACCTTAAGTAAGTATACTATTAAGAAATTCTATAGGACAAAATAGATTATTACTCTAGAGGTATTTCCTCTCAAATATTACCTAGGCAAAAAGTATATAAGGGCCCATCTTACTAAATACGGTCGGAAATTTCTGTCTATAATAGATATCTATCTCTGCGAGTATAAAGGCAAGGTATTTTATATCGAGAAAGAACAGGTTATTAAAATTTTTATTAAAAGCCGAGTTATAATTAATGCGGCTTATTTTCGAAAAAAGAACCCGAACTATACTAGACCGAGTATTAAGGAATCTAATATGGACTTATTAGCTAGCTAGATCTTTATTAATCTTAATGAAATTACTAAAAAGAAGTCATTCCTGGCTAAGGGTAATAAAATAGATCTATTAGAAATAAAGGGAAACGACTTGCTTATTTATAGTCTAACTATTCCTGGGTTTAGCTTAGGTAATAGAAGATAGAGTAAGTATTTAATCCTTTTCTATTATTATAACATTTTCTCCTTAGCTAATATATTAATATAGCAGAGTTAGTAGTTACTAATATTAAAGAAATTAACTAGAAACAGGCGGTATTAAATAACCTTTATATTCCCGAAAAGAAGAAAAAGGTTATATAAGCTTTTTCCGAAGCCTATATTAAGCGTGTATTAACTAATGCCTTTAATAATATTATAGAAGGAAAAGGGTAAGAGTTTAGTATTCTTTTATAGTATAGTATCTAGTCTCTATTTTCGTTGTAATTCTGCTAATATATTATATTAGTAGACTACTAGGTATAGGGAAGATCTTAATAGCTAAGTTACTTACCAAATATCTTTAGAGACTACTTATACTAGTCTCTGCTAGTGAGCTCGGTATAATAGTAGAGGCGGTTAAAGAGCGATTTCCGTATATTTTTAAGTATACTTCTTAATAAAAGGCGGTTCTTTTCCTAGATAAGGCGGATATACTTCTCGAATAGTACTTAGCCCAAGATATCTATTAAAATACTCTGGTCTATATATTCTTATAGACCTTAGAATACTATTAAGAAATAATATTTCTTACTACTAATAAAGTAGAGTAAATTAATAATACTATTACTAGTAGGATCTATTTTAAACTAAAGTATAATAATTTAAATCTAGAGTAGCGAACTAGTATCTGGCAAGATTTTCTAAAAAAGGTAGCTATACCTTAGGGAGCGCTAACTTATAGCCGTAATGCCTTTAATAATTGGGTATGAAAGGAGCATAATAGTTGCGAGGTAGGTTTGTTCTTTATATAATCGAGAAGTAAACTAATTACCATATCTTTTTAGATTAAAAACTTAGTATTTATAGCTCATGCTTTGGCTACTTAAGAAGGATGCCAAGTAGCTATGTCTTATCTAGACGTGGCTATTAAGGCATGCGAGGATTTCGAAGGCGATTTCAAGGGCGCAGGGCCAAAGGAGGCTATAAACGGTTATTTCTAACTAAGGCTATATTTTGAGAATTGGATAGTTAGATTGAGTTATATATATAAGTGCTTTGATTTCTCGTTATTTCGTCTTTTAATATTTATATGCTTTATATTACAAATGTATTCCGTATCTTCAAAGAACTTTTGAGGTCATATAACTGGTATTTATTCCTCAGGCCATAATAATCTTTTCTAGAACGCGATATAAAACTCCCTTCCGTATATACGCTTGTTCCCTAACGAATTCTGCCCTACTAGTCTACTAGAGGGGGCTCAAATGGGCTCTATATATTAAATATAATCCTATTATTATTACTATTGCCCTCACTAAGTCTCTCGTTATAGCATTGACTCCTCTACTAAAGCTATTCCCATACCTCTCACTTCTATGTCCAGATATTAGTAGTTAATATATTAAAGATTATTTAAAATTTTCAGATTCCGTCTAGATTTGACTCTTTCTTCTTATAAGGCAGTCACTATTAACTGGAAGGGCTTCTGTTACACATCGCTACTATAGCCATACTTATAGTACTTTCTATCTAATAGGTAGCGCTTTCTCCTGTAATTGCCCTCTTGCTATATATAATAAAACTTGCAATATATTAGTAGTATTAGTGAGAATCTCGTATGATTTGCGATATGTAATAAAAAATAAAAAAAAAGTCGGAATCTTAGCCTTTACCTATATCCAAGCCGTACACATTACGTACCAGCTATCCGTAATACGACCCCTTTTACTCGGGTGCTTGATTACCCCTTAGGCTAAAACGAGGATGTAATCTGCAGGGGATTGACTTGTTATAAGTAGCTTAAGTATTTTGTACTAGTCTAGTCACGTGCTGAAACCGTTTATTCTTAAGACCTATATGATCTTAAGAC